TCACTTGCCCTTAAAGGGCCAAGAAAGATAATCTTGAATTCTGTATATGGATGAGTGCCAAGAGTCTAGTCAACAAGAGGCCATCCTTTAGCATGGTTCTTGAGACACTAGGTGTTGGAATAAGCATCTGAAACTTTTCAGTTCACTTGTTCTGCTGACTTCATTTGCCTTTGTTTTGGTGTTTTTTGCCCTAAATAGCCTTCCAGATGGAGACATGCCTTTAAATTGGGGAAGGGGTGGAGATTAAGTGGTGGCATTGCTTTTTGTGTGAAACTAAAGCCTTTTGCCTTTCAAACCCTACATTTGAGTAGTAGTCTCAGAGATGAGAACTTCATAATCTCTAAATGACATTTCTTTTGATGAGATGACTCATAGAGTTAAGACCTTTAATACTCTTTTAGCAAACTCCTTTAGCCTGATTGTTACAGTTGCCTTTCAAACAGCATCTTCTTCAGGCCACTGATCTCATCAAAGCATCTGCTTACCTTCCAGAATGCTGTAGAGAAAGTGTGTGAGATGTCACCTTTCTGGAAACTTTTCCTTTGGACTCTGTATTCTTATACCTTAATGGCTGAGGTTACCTTTCTAAAAATTAAGGTTTTCTTTTCTTTGTCATTTTCCTACTTTTCAGGCTGTCCCTGAGTTTAGTCATATAATGGTAGCTGATGTTTAGAAGAGGGGTTTTTTTCTTAATGCAGCAACTGTTCAGGTAATGAGTTGTGTTGACGCTGTCAAGACAAGGCCCTTTTTGTCTTGAGAGATGATGCTCTTAAAGCTCATTAATTCAGTGACTCATGTTGAGAAATGTTCCTGACATGTGTCAAGTGGCCATCTAATGTGGATAGTGATAAGTCTGTGCCTCTTTTTGGTAGATCTGCCTGTATAACAGTCAGATGGTAGAACATTTGTGAGGCTATTGCTTGGAGTCACCTGAGGTGAGCTTGTTTACAGCTCACACATTTAAAGATGAGAACACAGGAATTCTTCAAACAGGTTGCCTGTGTCTTTTTCCCTTGTTTCCATCCCCTCTAGTCCTTTCTGAAGTGTTGCCCTTTTAGGAACCTGTGGTAGAGGGGAAAATAGCTGCATTATGCCATGTTAACTCTGTATTCTGAGCATGAGTATAAAGCATGATTTTTCTTTTTGAGGAATGCTTATGATGAAAAAAGCCTTAGTCTTGCATTAGGGTGCTGGTGTGGACTGTGCATCTCAAACTTGGTTACTTGTAAGCAGTTTCACTGTGTACATGTATGCACATGAACTCTGTAAAAAAAGGCAGTAATGCAGCAGGTGACTGAATTGATCAGATTTGTAAGTTAAAAGTAATGAAACAGTTGCTGAATAGCTCAACAGCAATGTGCTGTCTGATCTATAGTTGAACATTGACTCTGTCTGCTAAGTACAGCTCCCTCTGCCTTTAAATCTTGGCTCATGACTTGCAGGTACCAGTGTAATTGATCTTGGTGCTATTTTAGCTTGTCCAAGGGCAAAGCACTAGTGAAATATCCAGTAGGTAAGAGTCTTAAGAGATTCCTAGTATTTCTGTGCTAGCATTCTGCAGTGCAGTGTAGTTTAAATAGAAAGCACCTTCAGTAAGGGCTCCTGCTCTTTGTATACAGATATGCAAGGTTTGGGACAGAAGCTGACCATGTGTTCTTTCATCAGTTTTCTCCCACTTTTTCTGCAGAATAGAATTTGTGTTTGCTAGCTCTGGGGTATTTTGCTTTTCACAACTGTTACATGAGGAACAGGGAGATGTACATTTGACTGTGTGCGTTCTGCCTGCCTTTTTTTTGAGCTGTAGCTGTGGCACAAGCATCTCAGCTAAAATGTCTCATCTCTACCAGCTGTCACTTTAGCATGCACCAAACTGGCATGTATGACTGATGATTTTAAGCAAAAGTCAGGAAATTTGTAAGAGAAAATGAGCCTGTTTACCATTACTTGCTGTTAAACTTACTGGAATTGTCAGGTGCCCTCTGAAGGTTCCTTTGGTTTAGTGTTCCTATAAAACCTGCTCCCTTGTATGATCTAGCTCTTAGTACTGTTCTGCTGAATGCAAACAGAAATACTGTTTACATTCAGTAAATTTTCATTAGTCTGTGTAGTCTTTTAGTCTTTTGAAGTCATTAACATGTGTTAATGAAGAATTCTTAATTAAATAACATTTGTGGCTCATTTTAATCTTGTGCAATCTAAATACATTAGATGTTAGATGCAAGTCTGCTAAATTTTAGGCATTACCACACTCAGTTCATACCAAGCCCTTATATCCCAGAAAATGATTTGTAGCTAAAGTCAGGGGTCGTAGCAGTTGATGACTCAGGTATTTTATTAGCTTTTAAATTGCTGTGATTTCAGTAATCTTTTATAGTGGTTTTCCAAGAGTTAGGGGTGTGTAGTGGAAATGAATTATATGTTTCAGTGAAGATTAGGACAATCTGATTGTGTGAATTGTTTTTCTGTTTCTTTAGATTGCATTCTGTGGGGAGGGGTGGTGGTGGGGAAGGCATTTCATAAAGTATTGGAGCAATTTATGGCCTGGTAAGCCTAGAAAAGTAGGTGGTCTATGGTTTTAATGACAAGGGCTAGTATATAACTGAGTACTGTGGTTCAAACAGTATATTAATCAAATATTAGTGAATTTAATTTAGATTTATCCTCATCTTTTTAGAACAGAATAAAATGTTTGGGTTTTTTTCTGGTTCATTCTTTTGCCACAGTTTAACTAATTTGGATTCACTGCTTAGTAGTTTGTTATATTGGCTGTGACTGTCTGTCTTTTGTTCTTTCAGGGGAAAATATTTTGCTGATATTTTTATTTCATTTATTTAAACACCTTTATTTCTGTACATAGGACATTGGTGTAATGCAACTGTAACATGCTGTAATATTAAAACCAATTCGGTTTTGATTTAGCAAAATAGTTTTCATAGGAGTTCTTTTTAAAGTTCTTTCTGAGCCTTAATGACATAATGTTTTTTGCTGTGTGCTTTTTAATAAAATTGGAAATTGCTCTTGGACCCAATGAGAAATCAGCATAGGATGAATGCTTAGAAATAAAAAGTGTGTTAAATACTTAATGCACTCAGGATTGCATGAATGAAGACTGTGTGGACCTTTAAATTTACTTAGCTCTTACACATTTATTACAATAACTTGTGTAGTGTTAGTCTGTGGCAGAGCCAGTTGGATCCTTTCTTTAAAGACAAGAAGATTCTTCTCTGCTTTGGCACTACCTGCCCAGCCTAGTAGTGCCAGAAATTGTGCCTGATCAGACACTTGCATGAGTCACATAACAGCACCTTTTCTGCTCAATTGTTTAGTAATATTTAAAAACAAAAATGAGCTGCCATTTTATCTCCTGGAAGCATATTGGTTGTCCAGCCAGTTCACCTGTGTGTCTTAAACTGAAACATGTTACATCAGAAACCATTCTAGGTCCCTCTGCACTGTTAATTACAGAACTCCCATGAAATAAGCAAGGACGGAGGAAGTTGACAAAGTGCCTTCTAAATAAATGGTGTCATGCTGAAGGATTGGTTTATTCTAAAAAAGCTTGTGTTTCTCACTGCTTTTTCTAGAATTAGTAGGATGTAACCAGTTATTCCTCCAGTTTGGCACTTGTTTGATGCCCATGTTTCAGTACAAGGATTGGGGGCGTGTGGGAAAAATCAACCTTTTTTCATTTATCTGCATTTTTGTGCTGTCACCATTTTCTGTGAGCTCTCAGCAATCAATCTATTCCTTATTAATTTTAAATTGCTTTGTATAGAGAATCTTGTCAGTATTCTTTGATGGTTTTGCTCTCTTAAGATCAAAGGACTTGCCTGGTTCAGGCAGTGTAGCAGTGAGTGAGGTTGGACAAACACTATGGTTTATATGGCGTTTGCCTGTACATTTTTTTAAATTTGGACTTTGTGTCCAGAGTATTGGCCATGCAAAACTGGTATTTTTAGCTTCCAGTAGCAAAGTCATCACCGTAGCCACTGTTCCCTGAGAGAACCCAGATTCTGCAAGTGACGTTGTTTCCTGTCATTTCTGTTGCTCCCTACTCTAACTCAGAATGTGTAGCTAACATTTTGCCATGTTTATTGATGCTGATCTTTAATAGCCAGGAATTTTTGAAGTTCTGTGGATTTTTTCTGAAGTGCAGCTTGGTTGTGTACCTCAGAGGTTAAGAACCATTTTGCCCTTTTGCCCCCTTTTATATACCTAGTATCTTTGATTACAAAGGAAAGAGCAGAGAGCTTATAGTCACTTTAGGTGTTTGTTACAGCTGTTAGTAGCATAACTGTTTATTTTCAGTCCTAAACCAGAGAAACAGTTGTGTGTTAGCAGAACAGGAGGACATCATAAAATACTGGGTGCTTGGCTGTTTGAATAATAGTTGAAGACCATCTTGCAGAAATATGAAATAAAAGACTACATTTGTGAAGGATGTGGTTTGTCTCTGAGAGCTGTATTTAAATGAGGTACTCATGAAAGATGGAGACCCTAAATGCACAGGCACATGAAACAACAAATCATGGCTTTACTTACCTTAAAAGGTAGAGCTTGACTTAATTGCTCCTGGACATTTGTATAAGATATTAACATAGTGATAACTTAAAATACTGGTTTGGACATAAACGAAATAGTATGCTAAGCAGGTGACTCACGGAAGTTGCAGAAAGATCTCTTAACTTTATTTTCCTTACGTGATAGTTCTTTGGATTCTTTTTCTGAGTGTACTTCAGCATTTGGATTTTTTCTTTATTAAGGTTAAGCAATTTTTTAATGCTATTTGGATTTCAGAATGACAGGGGAAAGCTGTTTCTCACTATGTAAAACTTTGAAATTTGGCATACAAAAGGCTTGTCCTAATTTTTACAGCTGTAATAATTCTTAATTCCCAGGCTGTGGTTTTGCTTAGCTTAAAAATTAATTTGAAAATAGCTTTTCTCTTAAATGTTTCATGATCTGTTCTTTTTTTTTTTTTTTGTGTGCTTTCTTCTCAGGTTTTTAGCAGAATACCATGATGATTTCTTCCCAGAATCTGCTTATGTAGCTGCATGTGAAGCCTACTACAGCACTAAAAATCCTCGGGCGATCTACTGAAGCTATTAATAAAGATTAAATCTTACTATACATTGCCCATGACAATGCTATGTGGCTACAAGATGAGGATGAAAAAGGAATTAAAACAACCTCTGGAGTTGAAGAAATAGGAAAATATCTTTTGTGGTGGTTGGATTACTTAGGAATGGAGAACTACTTTTTTGAGATGTGTATAGACAGCGCTGTGAGTCGCTTAGAGGATTGGATATAAATCTGACTCCAGATGAATGAAGAAGCCTTGTTATAACTTCTAATGCATAGAACTGCATGGGACTATTAAAGAGCAAAGGAGGCAAAAGCAGATGCATTAGCAACAGGACATTTTCATGAAGATAAATCATCATGCTGCGTTTGACTTTAGCTCAGCCTCTCCAGCCTAAGAAATAAGACTTGACTACACAGTTACACGAAGAGAATGTGTAACTGGTATCTTAAAGATTGTTTTCCTCACAGATTACACATCATTTTGTGGAACTGTCATGATAGAAAGGATTGCTTAATGTACAGGTGGTTTCGCCATTTGGCTAGCATGACATCTGCCTCAAGAATGACTTTGTTGCTTGAATGAAAGATGTTGCTTACTCTGCATTTTGCAAAGGTGTATATAGCCCTTTCATGGTAAGGCTGCCAGAGTTCCAAACAGACTATACATTGCCAGGAATTCAACATTTCTCTGGCAATAAATGATTTCCAGAGCCATTATGAAAGAACTGGTTTTCTACAAGTAAGTGGAGAAGTCAATAAAGTCATTGCAGTTTTAACTGGCAAACACTTATGTTCTTAATAAAGTTCACAGTGGCTGCTGTGTAAATGTGTGATTTTGATGGTCTAAAACATCTTGTTTGTGCTTAATTAGTGTTTTTGAGAGTGTTGAGTGTTTGTATAATGAGAGGTGGGAGCATTGACAACATATGGAGACAAGCCCTCCTATCACTGGGTGTTCTTCTGCAGACTTGAAGGATGTCTCTTTAGACAGTTTTAGACACTTTAGCTCTGGAAATAGCAATTCAGTGAGAACTGAGTTCCTAGAAATCTGACAACACATGCAGTAGAAATTAATTGAAACATAATTCTTGTCATTGAACTTTGTCCATGACTTACAACTCTGGCCTTCAGAATCCTCTGCAATGTCAAGATAAACACAGATTTTAAAAACACTGAGAGAAATAGGACTCTGGCTTATATACTACTGCATTAATTACTCTGTAATCCTTCCTGGTTCAGAAAACTTCATTAGAATGCTACCTGTAATGCAAAACTCAACAGTTTCCTTACAGATTTGCAGAAACTAGTAATTTGGAGAAACCATCTTTCAAATGTAAATGGCAAGCTTAGTCTAAGAGACTGAAGGAGATCTGAAATGTACTGTTGACATTCATTGTCCCTCACTTTTCAGAATACACAGATATATTCAAGCTTTTAAACTGAAAAAATAAGGATTACCATGGTTTAAGCAATTTGTGCTAGTTTTTAGAAAACCTTCTATAAAATGTCTGTTAAGCTGGTTGTTAAACCAATGTCTGGCATAGATGCATGCAGGTTTGGTGATTGTTATTTCTAAAGATGACCAATTAGCAGTACTACTCTTTTTAAAATGCATTTCTGTTGCACCAAAACCCCCCATGTTTGTAAGCTTTCGTTGTTCTCAAATGACAGAAGTTTTGAGTCGGCGTCAAAATCCATTTTGCAAACATGTTGCATTCTAGGTTTAAACCTATTTCTCTGAAAAGACAATTCATCAAAATACTAATGACTAACAAGAGATTAGTCTAGGAATGCTGCCTGAAACTGCATCCTTAATCCTTTGTTATAGGTATGTTAGTGTATAATATGGCAAATCTGTTTTTGCTTCGTTGTTGGTACATGTGAGTATAAGGCAAGTTATGAACAGAGTTTAAACCTTACTGTGTGACTGTGTTTAACTTACAATTTCTGCATGCAAGGGTTAGGAATTCTGTTGGTATTGCCTCGTTGGTATATTGCGATGGTGCTCAAAAGACAAGGGTGGGATGGGTAAGGGGAGGGACATTCTGCAGATACAGTTAATGTGTTCTTCATGTGAACAAACTTTTTCCTAAAATTCTCTTGAAGTTGCTGTTGGATATAATGTTACAAACTATATTGCTCTCATAAAACCCCAAAACTTGTCTTCACATTGCTAATTGATACAGAATCATAGAATTTTAGGAGTTGAAATGGACCTTAGAGATCATCTAGTCCCACCTCCCCACTAGACCAGGTTGCTCAAGGCTTTATCCAACCTGGCCTTGAACACCACCAGGGTTGGGGCATCCACTACCTCCCTGGGCAACCTGTGCCAGTGTCTCACCACCCTCACAGTAGAAAACTTTTTTCATATCTAACCTAAACCTCCCCTCCTTCAATTTGAACCTGTTACCCCTTGTCCTATCATTGCAGTTTCTAAATATAATTTTCCAAACACTATATATTTGAATTTAAAAGTTTACGTATTCAATTATAGTAATGTGCATCTTTGACATCCTGTTTCCCTACTGTCACTCTTTTACTGAATTCCTGGTTTTAGACCTGATTTTTTAAAATTTTTTTTTTAAGCTGGAGCAGTGCTAGAGACCTGCAAATACTTGAACCAGATAGCATGGCAGGGTAGTTCTTGTCTTAAATATAGAGACTTACCAGTGTGGTCCCCAAAATTCACTTGGAATGTGATGTTGAAGAGCTCTTGTGGTAAGGAAAGTATCACAGCATTATTACAGTCAGTGCTTACACTGGTAAGTCTCCTGGGGAAGGCAAGTCCTTGCATTTGCCTTCAAGAATGGGGTGCTCCCACAGTGGCTGTGGTACAGGGTTTTGGATATGACTGTTGGGAAAAGGAGAGAACAATTGCAGCTTAGGACTTAGAAGCAGGTGATGCAGCTGCTGTGGTGCAGAATGAGTGCTGTCTGCTATCTGCATTCCCAAGCTGCTGGGTCTGTGCTAACACTACTAATTTCAGGACCTCCTCTGACTGTCAGCATGAAGGTGCCTGAGTAACTTCACAATGTGCCATGGGACTATGACCTTATGTAAAGTGCTTTACATAGACAGTAAAGATTACCAAAGAAGAATAAATTAACAGAATGTTAATATTCTATTTTATTCTTGATTTTAGGCTTAGTTTTGTGCCTATCACGCTTAAAAAAAAATCCCCACTGTTCTTTGGAGTGCAGTATGTAGAGTTGCCATGTTGCCTTTCATTTTGCTGCTGTTACTGTGTTTTTCAAGCTCCTGTTTGAAGGCTCAGGCTTTGGCTGAGATGACTGACACAAATGTGACCAAGTGCTAATTTAAAGCATGTTTCGTGTCCCATTCTGAAAGCAAACTAATGCAGATGTTGGGGTTTCCCTTGGCACTTGGTGTGGTCAGTCAGCTGTTACGTCAGGAATGTTTGTTGGGAACTTGTCAAACAGTGGTGTAGCATGACCTTGCTCTGGATTATGCCAAGAGGAATGTCTGCAGTCAAAGAAAAAAATAAAAAGCTGATTGCAAATAAAAAGCTGTTAACTGCTTTTCATGTTTGTAACATAAAAAGTGTTATCAAGACATTTGGGAAATACACTGGGGAGATTGTTATTGGTGTTAAAATGTATATGTAGATATTAAATCCTTCATTTCTTGGAAATTAGGTATTTTCCCCACTGGAATCTTAAGTGTGTCTCCCAAAAATATGTATGCTGGAGTGGAAATAAGCTTTTCAAGATGGGGTAAGGCAGGAACCATGCATTATCCTTTCCCAAGGCTCAAGTCAAGCCTTTACTGTGGTAGTTAGCTGTAGAAAAGCACAATGCTGCCAGCTCTTGGACAGACAGCCTTGTCTTGACTTCTGGCCTGGTGCATGTTTGATGGCTTTGACTTCTTAACAGAGCTGGAAAGCAAATTTACAATTCAGAATGCCCAAAGTCTAAATTTGAGGATAAAATGCCAAATAGCTGTAGCACAAACACACTTAGGCCAAATGCATTAAAATATATTTTTGTCCCATGCACTGTAGAATCTTTGTGATATGAGGTGATGGCATTTAATTGAATTAACAAGTTAAGCTACCTGTTTAATTTTCAATGCAAATACATCTCGGTATCATGAGGTTCCCAGTAATAACAGTTCTAGATTGTATGTTACTTTTGTAGTGTGTTTGACCATAATCAGTACAATCTTGATGTGTTTGCATAGTAAATTCTTTCACTTGCTTATGAAACAATGAATTTAGAAGGATTTTCAGCTTTTTGTATAGCTGCATCATTTTTCTGTATGAAATTAGTGAAGACAGGTACTATATTTCTACAGTCAGAAAACACAGTGCAGTGTTTCTGTCAATTTTTGGTGGTTTTTACTTCAATGACAACACTCTCCATCCCCCACAACTCCCAAACCAAAGTTTGGAATATGTATTGCTTCAGGAAAATGTTACCAGCTATGACTGTGGCAGATGTAGATGTTACTAAGATCTAACTCAATGCATCCTCCCTATTGCATGCATTATGTATTTCCCCTTCTAATTCATATAGCAGATGACTTTTTTGCATTAAGGCTCAAGATTATAGCAAGCTGAATAAAATCAGTGAAGTATAAACTTGGGTTCAAAGATGAAGTCTGTTCAAAGAAAAAAAACAATGGGTGAGGGGGCAAATGAAGTGGACTTTATTCCTTCTGTCTGCCAGTTGGGAGTAGCCACTCATACCATATGAGCTGGGCAGCATCATCCTGAAGAGAATGAACAAATCTCAGATGCAAACTGATAAATCCCAGCACCAATACAGACCTTTAAAAATGCTTTCTAAGGAATGGACATTTTGTTGCTAGAAATGGTGGAAAGTTTCATTTGAAAATTACTTTTTATCTTACCAATACAAGATGTTGGATCTACTTCTGGGGAAAGCAACCCAGGTATTAAAGTGTTGAATCATACAATATGTTCATGGGGATACTTCAGTGTGATGCCAGAAAACAAAGTGTTTATATGGCAAGAAATGTAGAGAGAAATGTGTTTAGTTCCTGACAAAATGAACAGCAGACACTTCCATCACAGCAGTAGTTTGCAGATTGTGCTTCTAATAGCTAATGTCAAGTAGATGTTCAATTTATTAAGCATTTTCTAGTCTTTAATTATCAGCTATTAATAATTACCAATCTGATAATTAAGCTATTAGTCTTTAAAGTCCTTGAAACAAAAATATCTCTCAAGTATTTTCCTTCTTTATTCCCTTCTTTCCTTGCTTATATTTTTCAAGTTGTCTAGCAAATTGCCAAACCATGCTTATGAGGTTTATGGAGAGGAGGAGAATGGCTCTGACTCAGACTAAGCAAGCTGA